ACCTCTCTCTATTGTCTCCTGCCTCATTCTTAGAATCAGAATCAGATTATTAGTCCCATAGAGGGGGCATTTACATGGTTACAGCAAAAGCCAAAGAGCCGAAATAGCTTAATATTAATTAAGAAGCATGTAAGAGTTCTTAAAGATAACAATTGAAATCATAATTTAAAAAATAGACATCCAGTTTGAGTAACAGTATTTAGAAAAACAAGTGTAGCATGTATAAAATAGTGTGATAGCAGCCAATAGTATTCCAAGTGAAAGTATATATTGTACAATTATTTACAGATTTAAGTTGAATTGTGTCACAAAGGGACAGCAGCCAGTAATAATAATAATTATGAAGCTGTGTGTGTATATATCAATATCTCTCCAACTCGGTATGTTTTTCATCTCACAGACTCGCCCGAGTCTCGCCATCCCTCACCCCGCCTCCCCGTCATATTCTCATGTTCGCGCGGACATACACTGGCACACATACACACACCCTCCCTTGTCCCCCCCCTCCCGCTGGCTGCACCTGTGTGCCCGGCTTCGGCCCCGGACACGGCTCGGGTTGCCGCTGTGGAATCTGGGAAATGTTCAAGCCGTCCAATACGCCACTCAGAGCAGGTACAACTGCAGACGACATGCAGATGGACGAGAGAAAAAGACAGAAACACACGTAGAGGTCGCAGAAAAAACACACACGGCAACCAGGACGCCATTTCAGGCTCTAACATGTCTTGCATGTGTTTGTTTTTAGGGAAATTAAATATCTATTGCACACTCTTAGTTGTGTGAAAGGGTATAATTAGCATTAAAGGGTGGAGGGTGAGAAGCAGGAGGTGTGAGAGGTCAGGGGGGGTCACGCAGACTGACACTCGAGTCTTCTCAGCACAGCTCGGGGGTCGCGAAAATGATGTTTCTGCCCTCATAAAAGAGCTGCGGGGAAGAAAAGAGAGGTAAACTCTTCCCTCCATCTCCTCCTCTTTCTCCTCTTTCCCCCCCCCTCGGTGCCACCTCTGGCCCCCTCCAACCCCCAACGCCATGTTTCAAAGTGTGGCCACATGAATGGCTCTATTGTTAACGGCTGAGAAAAAGTGGAAGGGGGGGAGAGAGTGGACAGCCAGGAAAAGAGATGAGGGAGGAAAAAGCAGGGAGAGAGAGACAGGGAGAGTGTCGGAGCAGAATGTGGCCCAAAGAAGAAGAGAGAAACGTAACATGGCTCAGGGCCGTGTCTTAACCGGATGATTTATTCAGATGTGGTCACAGTTGAACTCTATAAAGTTGTTTATAAGTTCCCACTCTCCTCTTCTCCCTGGCCCTTCTGCTCTGGGAGTGTGTTTCCAGCATCTGAAACAAACACACCCGACTTGTAAGGTGGATTTGATACAGAAAAAAAGGTTAGGCAGAGTAGAGGGGAAGAGACTTTTCTGACTCTACCTCATGATTACATTGGTGTCCCTATGCCATCCTGCTAGTGTTTATTATAGCACACATTTAGCCCCACACTAGGTTAAACTGGGTTAACTCTGCTAATCTGAAACCCTGAAATTGGAGCCTATCAGAAAAGGAGTACTGTGGCAGGAATGCGCCTCTCTTTCTTCCGCTACCCTTGCCTTTTCTTCCATGTGATATTTTAAGGTCTCTTCCTCCCGTGGAGTGTTTTGTCTCCGTTTCTGCTTGTTCACCACATTTCTTTGTTGTTGCTACATACTTTGCCTGACATGTTCAATATTTTCTTTCAACTCCACTCCCCTTCCCTCTCACTTGTTTCTTTCTTTCTGTTTGGAGCACTGCACCTGCCCCATGGCATTTGCCTTCACTCTCGTACGATCCTCTGTGTGTTTGCTCTGCCATTCTGCAGTGCAGCTCGACTGTGACTCAGGCTACCGTCAGATACACTCACACAATGCGTCACGCAGGAAGCAACAAGGTGCTTGTTTTTATAAGAGTGTGTGCATGTGTGTGTCAGTGGGTTTTAGCGTGCATGTTTAGGGAAAAGCTAAACCTATGTGGGTGGATGTGTTTGGGAAAACCTTTTGTGTTTAGCAGAAGGGCATTTGTTTGGGGGGGG